CTAATTTCTAACTTGCACATGAAACATTTTTTTTACATAATAAAAATATTAATAAATCAAATAATATTTTATGTCAATTAAGTCGTTCTTGCGCGTGAATACCCTATAACTTTTGATAAAAAAAAAATAAAAATAAAAACTAGATGACAAATATTTAACATCATTACACATGAAACCTTACTAGTTTATTAATATACTAGTAAATATAAGGATAAACAAACCAAAAAATATATAAGAGTGCAAATACCATAAAAAAAAAACAAAACCCGCGGGCGGGCCAATTTAGCCCGCGGGCTAATGCGGGCGGGCCACGGGCTATGTATTTTCCATCCCGTAGAAATGCGGGCCATTTTGGCCCGCCCCGTTTAGACCGCGGGCCAACGCAGGCCGGAGCGGGCCGGGCCGGACCGACCCGTTTGACAGTGCTATATTTCACACTAAATATAAATTACATAAGTATAAACAATTTTATTGTTTCAAGATATTATTATTATTGTTATTATTATTATTACTATTATTATTATAATTATTATTATTATTATTATTATAATAATAGTAGTTAATGCTATTTGTTTTTGCTATTATATTATATAATAGTTAATGTTATTAATTTTTTTACATGATCATACTTAATAGGGGTGTATTAATGTGAAAGGCAAAATATGAATGACAAATTTTGTAACTTCTTTTGGAGGGAAAATAAATGAGGTTTTATTAATTAAGTTTTATTTATTAAGTTTTATTTAATGATTAACTCACTCAATTTTCTCATTTTTCTTTTGGCATTTGGTCTTCTGGAGTTTGTAATTAAACGTGATTTGGGCCCTGCTATATGGGCTTATGGCAACACATCTTCAATGTATAAAATGGTGGGCCGATACGTGCTATGTGTATTTGGAAATGAGTTCGGCTCATAAAGCAGTGTGATTAGTCAAAACATAGAGCACCATGCAGCTGCTTGATCAAGCCGAATGAGTAAATGATTACTTTTTCTTTTTTATATTTTTTGAATGTACCAGAAAGCTGCTCGTGTCGGTCTCGTATCGGTTCTCTGCGCTGTCATGATTGACATCATATCTCATGGCATGCTTCTTTGGTTGTTGATTTGTACGTGCTTTTGCGTTTTCTTTTGGTCATATAACATTTGTGCCTATTTAAACATGATACGCTCATTCAGAAAGTACGCATTTCTGGCTCTAAGTTCGCTGGGTAGGACCGAACTTGTTGGATTGGCAGGAAGCTAAGTGCATAAAAGAATTGAGGATTGCACCACATTTTTTCTCAACTGACGAAAAGATAAAGGGTAGTTACTCGACTCAACATGGACTTGGCCTTTAATTTGCCCTCATCATTCTTCATCTTTCTTTAGTTCACCACGAAAGACCTCCACATGGTTACTTTTTCTTCAGAACCTTCACATGTTTGCAGGTTTTGTACTGAAGTTTAATTCCTCATTCGCAAGGATTTCTTGGTGAGCTGTCAGCTGATGTGCCTGGACACCGAGGTGCTGTAACTCGGTAAAGTTATTCTGTATTAGTTATGAGAGAAAATTGCAATTTTAGTCCAGTAACTTAGGTTGTTTCCCATTTTAGTCCACTAATTTAGACCGATCCAAATTTGGTCCAAAAACTCTCAAAAGTTAGTCCAAAACCTTAGGCTGTTTCCCATTTTAGTCCACTAACTTAGGTCGATCCAAATTTGGTCCAAAAACTCTCAAAAGTTAGTTAAATCAGTCCAATTTCAGTCCAATTGATTGGTCAATTTCAGTCCAATTTTAGTCCAATTTTAGTCCATTGGACTGATTTAACTAACTTTTGGGAGTTTTTGGACCAAATTTGGATCGACCTAAGTTAGTGGACTAAAATGGAAAACAGCCTAAGTTGCTGGACTACAATTGCAATTTTCTCTTAGTTATGAATCCAATGCTATTATTATTATTATTATTTTTTTTTTACATTCAAGGTTTCTTTCGTCTATTTTGAGGATGAGCGTGATGCTGAACACACCATCTGTGGTCTTGACGACATACCTGATGTGGTCGTCTGTAACAGTTCATGAGGGACCGGCTATGATACGGCCGTTAATAATGGCTAAGCTCGGACCGGCCATGATTCGGTCGTCACTATCATATGAGAGGGTACCGAGAATGTCATCAAGGGTACTACTAAAAGTACCACCAAGGGTATCATCAAAGGTGTCACCAGGGTGCGACGACCTGTTGAGGTGCGACGACCTCTTGAGGTGTGACGACCTGCTGAGGTGCGACGACCTATCTAGGCAGTTGGGTACCGTGGAACTCGGGCGGCTAAGCCAAAGGGCCCTGTCAAGGGACCAGAGCTCGGAGGTAGTCTCGTGCTCAAGTCATGAAGAGGTCTGCAACTTCAAGGACTCTATGGATTCGTAATCTTTTGACCTAATTAAGAGATATACATGAAGAAGACTTCTTGTCTCATGAGGACTCTCCATACTTCTCCTATAAAAAGGAGCAGGTTCATTCATTTTACACAACACACATACTTGTTGTCTCGTTACTCTGTCGTTTTCTCTTTGGACCGCCACTGACTTGAGCGTCGGAGTGTTCGCGCCGGGACCACCCCCTGCGTGTTTTGCAGGTACCGGCGATCGAGGAGACGCAACCCGGTTCGGAGAGGAGCGGTCCAGCGGTTCAAGTATTTGTGGTATAACAATACCCTTTGGGTAAGACAGGCGGCGATTGTCAGTTGAATGGGCTAGAGTATGTTTGCAGAGTTGCACTTTTGTTCAAGTTTTCCTGAAGTTTTTAGTGAATCTGTTGAAAGTTATTTAGTTCTATGTTATTAATGGTTTTCATCTTGTTAGGGCGAACGTGATAGGGATCATGATGGGAGGGCTGCAAATCAAAGGCCAACAAGCCCGATTTATCAGCATGCAGACGTCCACTTCTTGTAAGTTCTCATTTGCTTAAAATGTTTCAAAAGACTAACTTAAACGCTTAATGCTAATAAGGAGAGCGTAGAATTACGACTTTCTAATACAACTGCAGGTTTACTTCTGCAAGTAGCTTGATCAGATTTTCGCTTGTTAGCATTACAGTGTTTCCAATCACACTTTCGGCAGCACTTGCCGATTATGAACCGAAAAGAGAAGAAAGAAGCAGCATACACAAATATAATTATACGAATATGTCAGTTGTTGAAGCATTTATTTGCATGCCTACACGAATGCCCCTTGAATGGCCTTGTCGAGCCAAACCTCGACATCCTCCATCATCTCGGGACTGAGTCTGACCATGAGAACACAAAACTCTGACTCGTTGAGGGCCCCATCTCCATCAAGGTCTCCTTCGCGAACCATGGCCTCAGCATCTTCCTCACTCATCTCTTCCAGTCCCAAAATCGAGCAATTCTTGTGCAGGCTCGAGGGCGTGATTAGCCCTTTGGTGGGGTCAGCCAGGAGCCGGAACCCACCACAGAGCTCGTCCATGAAGGTCCCGGCATCTAGCTTATCAGCCATCACCGGCAGCAAGTCTTCGTATTCTCTACACTCTTCTTTTGTTTCCATTTCTTTCCTTTTTTTTTTTGGTAAATTTTAAAGTGACTTGAGATTATTGGGTGCATATATCCAATGGGAGTGAGGATTGAGAGAGCTCTTTATATTGCTGCACAAGTGCTTCTTATCATTTATGCGATTCTTGAAACAAAATGGACGGTCTTGATTTCTCTCATGTGTGTGTGTGTGTGTTATTAAAAGGTGATGCTCAAGTTGTCAAATTATGCTCAAGTGTCAGTGTCGAGAGTTGTAGCCATAACGTGAATTGCTTTGGTTTTTGTCCGATCCATGTTTCTTCCAAGAAGCTTCCCAAGTTATTTGTATGTGTGACACATAGTTTTTACGACACGGAGACCCGGACCAGAGCCGGAACCGAGCCGGGTGGGTTATTTGGACGGGGCAACAAAGGACTCGGTCAAAACCTGGGCAACCCGACCTTGGCCTAGTCGATCCGAGGTATTGACCCAGCTGGGTCAACCCAGTTGACCCGACTCCTATATATATTTTTTTTATTTTTTAAAATATTTTTTGTTTTTAAGAAAAAATCTATGTACATATGTTTATATGATAAATATTTATAATGAAATATATAATATTAATACTTTAATGTACAAATTTTATACACAAAACATTTAATTTTTTTACTTTTATGTATATGTATATGACAATATATTCTATTTATAATTTTAAAAATTTTAAAATTAATTATCAGGTTCAACAATTGACCCGGTAACCCGGCGACCCGATGACACGATAAAACTTTATTTTTTTTATTTATTTGATATATGACAAATGTGTATAAAACAAGGTTTTGAAAATCGAAGCGTTTCTTTCTCTGTATTTCTTTATTTGTGCCAGTTGGTCACTCGAACGATGTATTTATTGTTTGAGTATATATCTTGTCCGTTTGTTTAAGAAAAAAAAAATCGAATAGGTAGAGCTACTTGTTCAATGGTTCGCTAATGTGGTTGAATCAGTTGATCTGGTATTTAATATATATATTTAATATATAAACACACTGAGTGAGAGAGAGAGAGAGAGAGATGGCCAAGAATGAATCATAGATCAACGCTCAAGACACGGTCAAATGGTCCATCTTTCAGTCCGCAATACTTACAAGAGTAGAAATGAATTAACCCACAAATTAAAAATAACCAGTCACTGAAACAATGAAAGAACATTGAGACGACACATGATCCATAGATCAAATCAATAGAATGTAGAATCATAAGCTCGGACAATCTTGGACTTTGCTAGCACAGTTTTGCCTACTTTGTACTTGTGATTCTCATGATAAGCCTCGTAGTATTTCCACCCCAAAATCTCCCCACAATCGCCGCAAAACACATCGGACACCATATGTTTGCCGCTGATCATAAGCCTGTCCGATTTTGGCCCTTCACTTACATTCGTCACCCAACTGAATAAAAATGCCCTTTTCGTCCCGGCCTATATACAGACAACCCCAAAAAAAAAACAAAAAAATAAAAAAATCATAATTTGGAAAGATTCTACTGTCCGGTTATAAAACCATTCCATCGGGGTTTGTAACCTTTAAATCAACTATTCACTGACGGTTACATGATCATCTAACGGTTACAAATCTCGGCAAATGTTTAGTCAAAATTACGGTCAAACAAAAGTACAGTGAAAATCAAAGGGCTTACCACAAACTGCTTGTTAACGATATTATCAGTAGCTGCTACGATGTTTCTGCACCTAAAGCAACAGAACAATCGTGACCCAATTTTATCTTTATCGTCCATTTGGAGAAATATTTTGAATTGATAAAAAATCGTATCAAGTTCTTTTATATGGGATGAAGATAGTTTCATTTGTTGTGGAAACTGTAAAAGGCTTACATAACTTTTCGGGTTTTTGAGAAAAAA